AATTTCAAATGTGATTTAACATAGTTTCTGTGTAATGCACATAATCGAGGTGGTCTGAAAATACTCAGAGGATTTGCGTGATGGTGCTTTTTTTCGACAGATTCCCCCCCCCCCCCCCCCGCATTTGTATTCATTTCAGTGGCAATGCTGTCAGGTCTTTGGACGTTACATTTTTTTAGCATCCGAAAATTTAAATGGTTGTAAGCACATTATCATGCATCGCATGCTTTGATTTTTAGACACGTGAGGCTGCATGAATTCTCAACATGTTTTGTGCAAGAGCGGCCCTTAAAAAAGATTGTTTTGATTATAGTGCAGTACCACTTATGATGCGGATATTGGCGACTCCTGTGACTTGCATTATAAGCGGTGTATACTACACAGATGAAATAAAAGCTTCAAAAGAAAATGACATTCCAGCTTTCATACAGAAGCCTTGTTCACAACGAGGCCAAACAACTAGTAATGTCTCTCATACAGATTTCTGTCCGTGACACAAGGACTGTGCGTAGGAAAGGGGAAGGTTTCCATAATTGCAATTCAGTGTCTGCCTTGCAGGTCGTATCTTGAGCAATTTGAGTACAGGCATGACTTTCAGTTTCTTATTTTCTCAATGATACTCGTGTTTATCTAGTCAACGTAGTGATCAGTCGTATCTGCATGCTCGTTAAGAGTACTAGATGCCACTTAATTTTAATTTTTTTTTTGACATTGTTCTGATGCTGGCATATGTGCTGTCTGCAGTTGCCTGTTTTTATGATATAAACACTTTTGCAACTTGCACTGGGTATCTCGTACACAATAGCAGGAAAGGCTTCCTTCAGTACCTTGTTCTTCCCACTAACAAGTGCTTGTCTTAACTTTCATAAAGGCACATGGGTGACTTCAATGTCGTAGCTATGCAATATGCATGATAAGGTCACACTTATTCAAGGCACGTAAGAAACAAGTGCACGTTTCTTCCATGTGACACTGACAGATTAGTAGGGAACAGACAGACGATATTCTATCATGTTAATAAGCGCGGGTGGCTAACTGCATCTTGAAAGTTCCTTTAAAAATGTTTGCACATCGGTGGTCAGTTTTTCCGGATTCATGCGAATGCGATTCACGTGAACTAACAATGAGGCAACCACCAATATACCTGAAGTATGAGGTAATTGAGCCTAGCCTGCCACCAATGCATGGGCTTTGCCACCTATTTCTGCCGTTCTCATGTCCTGACATGACTCTCCCCTTTTCCGCGGTCTGTTGCCCTGGACGAACGGGAGTGAGTATTAACCCCTATCACCCAGTAGCGGATGCCGACTGTGGGGCCGTGCGCGAAGTCTCTTGGGAAGTTTCATGCACGCGTGGTGGGAGTGAGTGAGAATTTCTTCAGGACACGAAGGGTGAGCACACATTTCTTTTCCATCCGTCGGCTCCTATTGTTTGGGGCTCATCAGACTTCGCCAACGGCGCCTTGCGCCCGTGGTAAACGCTCACCTTTTTGTTGCCCCTTCGGAACGCTAGACAGAAAAGCAGTGCGGTGTCTTTGCGCGTGGTCATACTACACTGTCTTGTTCCTCTCTAGGCCAGCACGAGCTGAGGTTTGCCCTCGCTTGAGCAACCAGGCGTTGTTGTCCCGGTGTCACTGTAAATTAATTTGCCCATGGAGACGTGCTCGTGGCACCCTGTGTAGTACTTCTCACCCGGGGCGTGGATAAGCCCATTTTCCTTCCCGCCGCCCCTTTTGCAACGGGCTCTATACTGCGGTTTTGGTGTTGCCGCAAACAATAAAGTATTGCGACCTTAAGAGCAGTACTGTGTTCTCGCCATGCTGCGCCTGCCGCCAAGGCTGTCTGAATGCGCGTGTGCAGTGGCGACGGTTAACGCGGCCTTGCGGCTCACTAAGACCGAACCCACGCTAGTGGCCATAGTTCTTTGGGATACTTGTGCACTACAAGTTCAGGTACCTGCTAGTGTGCATGCCTTTTTTGTACACGCTGAAAGATAGTGCTAATTTTTCCTTTTTATGAGAACATGAGGAAAAGGTTGCCTTTGGTCAGCTTCCAATTCTACGATGAACTGAATAGAGTCGGTTTGATTGTTTAGGTGTGTCATGAATGCTTCCAAAGCAGAGCACTTGATGACACAAAAACAATCATCAACATTGCGTGGAAAAATTGTTTTACAGCGGCTGAAATAAGCAAGAGCCGTATTTTCCAGCCATTCCATTGCGAAGTTTTCTGCATTAACCGAGGTAGATGCACCCATAGGTGCTCCATGACCTTGCTTGTAGATGACCTTATCAAAATGAAAGTAGGTGTTGGTGAAGCAAAAACTGAGCAGCTTTCTTGAATCGGGGACATAAAAAGGCATCCCTTTCGCTTGATGCGGATTAGCGTCAAGAGCAGCAGCACACCACTCAACAACGAGAATGGGAATGGAAGTAAACAGGGAAACGACATCAAACGAAACCATCCCCTTGTCTTCTTCAAGGACCAAACACCTCACTTTCTCAACAAAATGGGCAAAGTTGCGTACGCCTTTTCCAAAAAGCGGTAATAAAATTCTGTTAAGGTAACCAGATAGTTTGTGCCGGGGGGAACAGGTAAAGTCAACAATGGGCTGAACAGGGGCATCATGTTGAATGTTTGGTAGGCCATGAAGTGCAGGGAGTGAGTCATTGTGACAGAGAAGTGAGTAATCACTTGGAAATAAAGGAAAAAAGTCACGCCTGTATCTTGAAGGACCCTGAGAGCGAAAGTTTTATTTGGGATTTCTTTACAGTGATTTGTAGCTTTGTGTATGGTAATGCTGCAATTGAATCGTAAATAGCCTAATGCATCGCATAATTTATGCTAGTATCAAAGTTAAGAACGATTTTGCATAGTTTCAAAATGTCCTGCTAAATACCATAAAAAACTAGTGCCCAACAGTAGGGCAGCGCTTGAGACTACATGCGCTCAAGCTTTGGTGATGCTAAATGTGCTCTTTTCAAATAGGGGGACCTACAGGTGGTGGAGGATGAAACGATGTGGATACTTTGAGCGTGTTATCTTCAGAAAAAAAAGAAAAGCATTTCTGGTATAAGCAGCCAAAACCATCTTTAAAGCAGTCCAACAACAAGGCGAGCGGGGTGCTGGGTGCCAGTCATGGTATTGTGCACACCGTGCAAATATTCTTTGATGTTAACAATACTTGCTTGTGCTCTGCAAGGTCACGAAGGGGACTCCAGTTTATGTCAAACCACAGAAAGTGTCATTTACTTCATAGATTACGAGAATGCATTTGATTCAGTGGAGAGATCAGCAGTCATGCAGACACTATAAAATCAGGGCGTTGATGAAGCATATATACCGTAATAATCCTGGAAGAAATCTATAATAGATCAACTGCCACCACAGTTCTTCGTAAAGAAAGCAACAGAATACCAATAAAAAAGGATGTAAGACAAAGGGATACGGCCTCCCCAATGCTATTTATGGCGTGCTTAGAATGGGAAGAGTTAGGGATACGAGTTAGTGGAGAGTACCTTAGAAACCTGCGCTTCGCCGATGACATTGCATTGCTGAGTAACTCAGGGGACAAACTGCAATTCATGATTACTGAATAAGACAAGGACCACAGGAAGGTAGGTCTTAAAATTAATATGGAGATAATGAAAGTAATGTACAGTACAACAACCCCGGAAGAGAACAGCGCTTCGAGACGGTAACAGCGCACATGAAGCTGTAGAAGAGTGTGTCTACGACAGGTAATAACTAATGAGCCATACCAGGAGAGTGAAATAACTTATTGAAGAATAAGAATGGGGTGAAGCACATTCGGCAAGCATTCTCAAAAGATCAGTGGTAGATTGCCACTATCTCTCAAGGGGAAAGTATATAACTGCTGCATCTTACCTGTACTTACCTATGGAGCAGAAACCTGTGGAATTACCAAGAGTGTTCAACTTGAGTTGAGAAAAACACAGCAAGCAATGGAAAGGAAAAAGATAGGTGTAACCCTAAGAGACAAGAAGAGAGCAGAGTGGGTCAGGGAACTAATGGGTGTTAAGCATATCATAGTCAAAATGAAGAAGAAGAAGAAATAGTCATGGGCAGGGCACGTAGCGCGAAGGCAAGATCATTAACGGTAACTGACTGGATTCCCAGAGAAGGCCAGTGGGTAAGAGGGAGACAAAAAGTTCGATGGGTAGATGAGATTAGAAAGTTTGCTGTAGGGTCGGGGCTGGCTAGCCACGACGCTGACGAAGAAAAAGGAATGAAGAGCCGCAGCACGGCGACGCCACCAGTGGCAGCCACCCATGACTTCAGCACAGAGTGGTGAGAGAAGAAACACAACATTTGCGAGTATGAAGTGGTAGCAGCAAGCACACGACCAAGTTGACTGGCGGTACATGGCAGAGGCTTTTGTCCTGCAGTGAGCGTAGTCAGGCTGATGATAATGATGAATACTTGGATGAGCATGCACCCTTACTTTAAAATGTCCTATGGGCAACACTCATCCCTAATTATCAGTCAGAAGTGCCCCAGCATGCAGGAATCTCAAACTACACAAGCATCATTAGTTTTCCAAATTTGGTGTCGGGCATCCTTCAAATCACTCGATAAGTGCAGGGGGCAAACCACTGTGGCAGAGGAGTGAGTAATCACTGGGAAACAAAGAAACTGAAAGTTACACCAGTACCTTAAATTGCTTGAGATACAATCTGTAAGGCAGACACTGAATCACACTGATGGAAACCTTCATTGTCCTATGCTCAATGCTTGCTTCATGTGCTGAAACCTACATAGGAGACATGTTTGGCCCGATTAGCTTGAAGGCTTTTATATTAAAGCTGAAATGCCCTTTTCTGCCCCACTGCGGTAGTCTAGTGGCTAAAGTACTAGTGGCTAAAGTTAGAGACACCAGTGGTGGTGGGTCGAACAACTACGGCCTTGTTGTGATCTCAGAACAGCTTGCCTTGTAAAAAGAGGACAGACAAATATGGGAGAGTTAGAAAATGTGCTTACGAAGAATCCCCAATCGGACTGACGTGTCTGCATTTTCTCGGTGAGCAGCACAAGCTGTCCCCTAACTTCGGGCGTGCTCTTCCGTGACTCTTCTTCGAACTTGAGAGCCCAGGAGTGGTGGGAGACGGTGAGGTTGTAGAGGGCGTGGCGCTTCGTTGAGTCTCCTTTCATGTGCATCCAATGCTCTTGAGTGTAGTTGGCAAAGGCCTGCAGCAGAAGAGGATGCAGCAAAGAGCTTTGAGATACTAGTATCAGGCTGTACAAATGAAAGACAGGAAATATTATCGGCTCAAGTTTTCTTTGTTAAGCACAGCATGAATTATAAAAGACAGAATAGGATGACAAACCAAAAATGGCAGCAACGAAAGCTTACAATAAAAAAAATTGTAAACTTTTTCTTTTTGGCTGTTTGTAATACGGTGGTGCGAACAGGCATAAAAAAGTGTTCCCCACTCGCCGAAATAGCAATAAGCAGTGCTGACTGATGTTCAAATGCATGTGTATACCCTATAAAGTGGACAGAGGGATGACCGTCACTGTGACATAGGCCAGCAAACTCGCTCTTGAGCAGATTCACTCAGGCTCACTCATACTCAGAGCATGCGGATGGTCTGAGTAAGACTGGTTGAATAAAATTTTCATGACATATTTCTTGAGTCAGTCTGAGTGAGCTACAGTGTTTTTCGCCGACCTATGGTCCTATATATACACTCTTCAGCATTTGCATCAGCCTTACCTGGATCCATGTTTATACTAATGTCTGCTCACGCGTATTTTAACACGAAAATCTTTTATACCGGGGCCCACCAGGACTTCAGATGGATATGACATTGTAAAATTAAGACTACCAAATGAAAAAGAAAAAAAAACATTCAAGAAAGAGTTCCCTCGCCAGGCGTCAAACCTCTGATTTCAGGGGAAACAATGAAAGGCACTCTATGCTCTACGAACTGAGCTATTTTTATTTATTATTTAAAAATACTGGAGATCCTAATTGAGCCCAAGCAGGAGTGGGAACATCATTAAACAAAAAATACCGACAATAATAATTAACACTGTTGCTAGCTTAAGTAGTGGAGTAAACCACAATCAACAAGCAAAAAAAATAGATACGTACGCTTCGCAATAACAAACACACAAAATTATAAGTGATAAAACATGCATGTACAATAATTCAACACATGAAGTAAATTGCACTTTATGCATAAAAAATAAGTTGTTCGAAAATCAACAGCTAACAAAGCTGTTCAGCATAAACATAACTTTACATGTCAAATGAAAGGTTATTTAGAAACTGATTAGATTTGTGGGGTTTAACGTCCCAAAACCATCATATGATTATGAGAGACGCCGTAACGGAGGGCTCCGGAAATTTTGACCACCTGGGGTACTTTAACGTGCACCCAAATCTGAGTACACGGGCCTACAACATTTCCGCCTCCATCGGAAATGCAGCCGCCGCAGCCGGGATATGAACCCGCGACCTGCGGGTCAGCAGCCGAGTACCTTAGCCACTAGACCACCGCGGCGGGGGGGTATTTATAAACTGAACAAATGATTCTGTTGTATTGGCGTTCCCTATTTCTTTGGGCAATTTGTTCTATAGTAATGTTGCACGTGGAAAAAGGGAATGCTGATGTATTTTAATATTACTAAATGGCTACTTAACTGTTTTGTTGTGGTTTGTAAGACCAGACCGCATGGGGGCTCAGTTAAGAGGCTTTCATGCAGTATTTTGTAGTGACCATTGTACAGTTGATGTAGAAATTTCATGCAAGATAGAGTTCTGCAACAAGTTAGTTTTCTCAATTTTTCCCTGTCGCGAAGAACAGGCCCGCTTGAAAAACACGAGTATTTGGTTTATATAAACCTCAAAGGTAAATTTTGCACTCTTTATAATTTCTTGACTAAGTACTTTTGATGCGGGCTCCAGATCAAATCCGCATAATTTAACTTCCATCTAACAAGAGCTTTGTATGCAATTACTTTTACGGTCGATGATGTATGACGCAATTCTTATTTTAATAACGCGAGATTCTTTAGTGCGTTACTACGCACATTTTCTATATGTGTTTTCCAAGTTAAACTGTTTGTAATTATAACTCCTTGTAATGGGGTTTATTTGCAGAGCAGAATGCAGAAGACGAAGCAGTCAGCAGTGTCCGGCCAAGCGCAGCAAGCATGAGCTTATGCTGATGGCGATGCCCCTGAGGCGCCGAGAAATGCTGCTGAGGCCCCTCTTCTTCACTACAATCGCCCTCCGCAGAAAAAGACGCCATCCTGGCCGATTAGGGAGAGGAAACGACTAATGGGTCATAATATGGCTTGAGGCGAGAGACGTGGACAGTGTCGCGACCGCGGTAGCGAAGGTCTGTGGATGGGATGATAGGCTCCACGATATAGTTGACAAGTGACGTTTGCTCTACAACGTGGTAGGGCCCGATGTATTTGGGAAGAACTTTTGCGGAGCGGCCAGGTGCGGTAGCAGGTGCCCGAAGCCATACCAATGAACCAGGTGGGAAGCTTGGAGCCGAACGGTCCCCAGTCCGGCGGGATCGCTGCTGCCACTGGTCCTCGGCAGAAAAAGAGCGGGCAAGCTGGCGGCATTCTTCAGCATGTCGAGCAGCTTCGGACAGAGTTGTACTTTCGGACTCATAAGGTTTATATGGGAGAATAGTGTCTACTCTATTTGAAGGTTCTCGTCCGTACAGAAGAAAGTATGGCGAAAACCCAGTAGTTGCTTGTACGGCAGTATTATATGCGTAGGTGACGAACGAGAGAACTTGGTCTCAATTTGAATGATCAGAGGCGACGTACATCGACAGCATATTGCCAAGAGTACGGTTGAAGCGCTTCGTCATGCCATTCGTTTGAGGGTGGTACGCTGTACTTGTGCGGTGCACAATTCGACATTCGTTGAGTAATGCCTTCAAGGCGTCAGAAAGGAAGGCACGGCCTCTGTCACTTAAGAGCTCGCGAGGGGCACCATGACGCAGAATGAAACGTTGCAACAGAAACGTTCCAACAACGTCACGGGATGTGGCAGTCGGCAGCGCAGCTGTTTCGGCATAGCGTGTAAGATGGTCTATCGCAACAATAATCCAGCGATTACCAGCTAGAGTTGATGGTAGTGGTTCGTAAATGTCAATGCCGACGCGATCAAAAGGTCGACTAGGACAAGGAAGAGGTTGTGACGGGTAGACTTGCCCGGGAGGTAACTTTTGTCGTTGGCACTGAGCACACGAGCGAATGAATTTCTGCACGTAGTTATACATGCCACGCCAATAAAATCTGAGTCGAAGCCTAGCGTATGTCTTGAAGAGGCCTGCGTGGGCGCACTGTGGGTCTGCGTGAAAAGCTTTGCGGATAGCAGCTCGAAGATGGCGGGGTATCACAAGGAGACACTCGCGACCGTCAGAAAGGTAGTTGCATCGATAAAGAAGATCATCCCTTAGGCAAAAGTTGCTAGCCTGGCGGCGGAGAGCTCGAGACGGCGAAGGAGTGAGAGGATCAGAAAGAATGCTTATGAGGCCACTGATCCAGGGATCCTTTCGTCGTTCCACGGTCATGTTGCGCAAGGCGGATGACGCAAGTGCAGGCTCGAGGGAAGAGAGGCAAACACCTTCATCCGATATGGGTGAGCGAGAAAGGGTGCGGCGTCCGTGTGCTTACGACCGGATCTGTAATTAACGCAGATGTCGTATTCCTGGAGTTTGAGCACCCAGTGAGCAAGTCGTCCGGAAGGGTCTTTAAGTGTGGATAGCCAACAAAGGGCATGGTGGTCAGTGACGACGTCGAATGCGTGACCGTACAAATAGGGGCAAAATCTTCCAAGGGCCCAGATAATAGCTAAACACTCTTTCTCGGTCACGGAGTAGTTAGCCTTGGCTTTCGTCAAAGTTCGGCTTGCGTAGGCGACGACATTCATCAAACCCTGCCTTTCGTTGCGCGAGCACAGCACTAAGTCCAACACCGCTGGCATCAGTATGAACCTCCGTGGGAGCGGCAGGATCGTAGTGGCGGAGGATGGGTGGTGAAGTTAGTAGGCGGCATAATTTGGTTAACGCATCGTCGCATGCTGGTGACCAGGTGGGAAGGTCCTTGTCGCTGCTAAGAAGGTCCGTAAGGGGTGCACATATGGAAGAAAAATTTCCAATAAAGCGTCGGAAGTATGACGACAAGCCGACAAAACTTCTAAGTTCCTTTAAGTTCTTTGGCTTCGGAAAAATCGGCAACTGCTCGAAGCTTGGCGGGGTCGGGAAGTATGCTGTCTCGCGATACGACGTGACCAAGAATGGTGAGCTGCCGGGCACCAAAACGACACTTCTTGAGGTTGAGTTGAAGGCCAGTGTCGGTGAGGCGTGTGAGGACGAGCTCGAGATGATTTAAATGGGTGTCGAAATCGGTGGAAATGACAACTACGTCATCGAGGTAGCATAAACATGTGTTCCACTTGAGGCCTCGTAAAATAGTGTCCATCATTCTTTCAAAAGTGGCTGGAGCGTTACAAAGGCCGAAAGGCACAACGGTAAATTCGTATAATCCATCAGGTGTGACAAATGCTGTTTTCGGTCGGTCAGATGCTTCCATAGGTACTTGCCAGTACCCAGACCGTTAAGTCCAGCGAAGAGAAGTATTCTGCTCCCTGCAAACAGTCAAGGGCATCGTCTATTCACGGTAACGGGTAAACATCCTTACGAGTGATCTTGTTTAAACGTCGATAGTCCACACAGAATCGAATGGAGCCGTCCTTCTTCTTAACAAAAACGACCGGTGACATCCAGGGACTGTTAGAAGGCTGTACAATACCCCGCTGGAGCATGTCAGCAACCTGGTCGTCAATAACACGGCGCTCCGATGCTGAGACTCGGTAGGGGCGCTACCGCAGAGGCGTATGGCTTTCTGTGTCAATCTTGTGAGATATGTTCGATTTGCGACTGAGACCAGAAGCGTGGCTGTCAAAAGAAGCACGAAACTTTTGCAGCAGGTTCACCAACTGGTTTCGTTCTGAAGAAGACGTTGCGACATCGATGGAGCGGTAAAAAGCGTCAAGGAGTGACTGGTCAAGAGCAGAGTCAGAAATGAGTGCGCTGAAATCCGTAGAAAGTAAACTAGATGGAGCGTCAAAAATGTGACGGGCGTCGATCGGATGCACGTGACCGAGACATTCACCATGGAATAAAGGTAAAGGCCCTTCTAGCGTATTG